ATCCATCATGAATGGATTGGTGCCATCATTGTTTCTCATGTTCCCATGAGAGCTGGTAATTTAAAAGAGTCTGGAACTTCTCTCCTTTCTCTCTTGCCTACTTTCTCACCACGTGATCTCTACACATACGAGCTCCCCTTCCTTTTCCACCATGAATGGAAACAGCTTGAAGCCCTCACCAGATGCAAATGCCAACACCATACTTCTTGCACAATCTGCAGAACCATGAGCCAAGTAAACCTCTTTCCTTTATATAGGGTTACTCAGCCTCAGGTATTCTTTTATAGCAACACAAATGGACTAAGACAGAAAATTGGTACCAGGAAGTGGCATGTTGCTATAAAGATACGTAAAAATGTCAAAGTGGGTTTGGAACTGGAGTGCTCATAAGATAGGAAAATGAGGGAAAGTTTGGGACATCTTAGAGATTGGTTAAGTGGCTGTGACCAAAATGCTGACTGAAATATAGACAGTAAAGGCCATGTTGAGGGTCTCAGACTGAAAGGAGGAAATAATTCAGAACTGAAGCAAAGATAACCTTTGTTTCTTTTTTGTTTTTTTTTTTGTTGTTGTTTGTTTTTTTTTTTTGAGACGGAGTCTCGCTCTGTCGCCCAGGCTGGAATGCAAAGATAACCTTTGTTATACCCTGTCAAATAACTTTGCTACATTGGGTCCATGCCAAGCAGCAGTGCTCAAGAAGTCATGTGGCTGCTTTTAACAGCTTATGTTCACATGTGGGAGCAAATGAATAACCTAGAGTTGGAATTTATAATCAAAAGGAAAGCAAGGGATAAAAGTTTGTAGAATCTTCAACCTGGCCATGTGGCAGAGAAGGAAAGAGTGTTTTCAGAAGAGGACACCAAGAGTGCTGGGGTAGCAAACACTTGTTAAAGAAAGTAGCATGAATAAAAGGAGTCAGGTACTATTCATAAAGACAATGGGGGAAAGACCCTGAAGGCATGTCACAAATCTGTCACAATTCTGGGCTTCCCATCACAGACCAAGAGACCAAAGAAGATGGTATGGTTTTGGATGACAGGCTTGGGACAACATTGTCATGCCCCATCTCTAGAAAGTGTTCCCCAAATCTCACTGCTCAAATGGCCACAGGTATTGCTCCTGCTGCCACTGAAGGAGGCTAGAAAGTATGAGTAGTAGAGGCTTGGCAGCTTCCACTGAGATTCCAGGGGATGTATTGAAAAGCCTGAGTGCCCAGCCACAAGCCTGCCATAGGAGTGGAGACCCTGCAGACAGATGCTAGTGAGGCAATGCTGAGCAGAAATATGGGGTTGGAGGGCCTGAATAGAGTACCCACCAGGGAAATGCCTAGTAGAGCAGGGCCGTGGTGCATCCATGTTCCCAGGGTACAGGACATGGAACCAAGGGAGATAATTTTGGAGCTTTAATATTTAATGTCTTCCCTGCTAGATTTTGGATTTTCATGCAGCATGTTATCACTATATTTTGACCAATTTCTCCCTTTTGGAATGAGATGTTTACTCAATATCTGTTCCACCATTGTATCTTGGAGATAAATAACTTGATTTTGATTTTACAGGCTCACAGCTGAAAGGAACTTGCTTTGAGTCTCAGGTGAGAGTTTGGCCCCTGGACTTCTGAGTTGATACTGAAACAAGTTAAGACTTCTGGGAAGTATTGGGATTAAATGATTATAATTTATATGTGAGAAGGACATGAGGGATTTGAGGGTCCAGGGATAGAATGCTATAATTTTAATATTTGAACCTCCAAGCCACATATTGAAATTTGATGCCCAATGTCGGAGGCTGAGCCTAATGAAAGGTGTTTGAGTTGCAGGGGCAGATCCCTCGTGAATGACTTGGTGGTGTCCCTATGGTAATGAACTCATAGAGTTCTCACTCTGTGAGTTCCCATGAGAGCTGGCTGTTTAAAAGAGTCTCTGGCTCTCACCTCTTCTCTCCCCATGTGATTGCTACACATGCCAGCTCCCCTTCCTCTTCTGCCATGAGTGGAAGCAGTTTGATACCCTCACTAGATGCACATGCTGGCACCCTACTTCTTGTACAGCCAGCACAACTATGAGCCAAATAAACCTCTTTTTATAAATTGCCCAGCCTCAGGTATTCCTTTTCAGCAACACAAACAGACTAAAATAGTGACCTACTTAAGATGGCACAAAACATTAAGAACAGAGCCAGGCTATGTCTGGAAGTGATCTCCCTAGTACTGGCCCAATTACGTTGAAGTGTCAGAACTACACACAACATAGAGGTAAAATCTAACAAAGAGTTTGAGAACTGGCCCCTACAGAACTATGGCTAAACTGCAAAGCTGACACACTCAGCTCTTTTACCAAAATAACAGCAATAACAGTAAAAATGGCCTGATTGAGGGGTCTCTATAAATGTTAACCTGTTTTAAAATCTCTTAAAGTTTAGCAGTAACTTTATAAAACTTAATAATTAATAAGCTTCAAAATATCCTGTCCATATTTTTCTTAACAGTGACGCATTTTTAAGTGATCTAATTTACATTTCACTACTGGAAGAATTTAAATGACAAAAAACCCATCAAATATATTTTATCACACACAAAGATTAGAATATTTTATTTTACATTGTCCATGATGACAACATAATAAATAGGATCATCTCTAAGACATGGTACACATTAACAGTAATTTTCTTTTACTTAACAAAAGAGCTATTGAATTTAAATATGCACACAAATTCAAAAGCTTAAAATAAAAAACTTCAAGATTCAAATAATTTACATACATATTCAACTTTGTGAAATTTTGCACTTAACCAAACTTCCAGTGAATTTCCATCAAGACTATTCTGCATCAAAAAGTTTTTTTTAGGCGAGACGTGGTGGCTCACACTTGTAATCCCAGCACTTTGGGAGGCCGAGGTGGGCAGATCATCTGAGGTCAGGAGACCAAGACCAGTTTGGCCAACGTGGTGAAACCCCATATCTACTAAAAATACAAAAATTAGCTGGGCGTGTTGGCAGGTGCCTGTAATCCCAGCTACTCAGGA